GTATGTGTGTCTCTGGGCTCGAGTCTGTGAACCTGGCGGGGGGACACAAAAGTGTGAAGAGAACTGTTCCATTGCATGCTGGAGTCCAGCTCCAGCTGAGTCCAGAACTCGCAAAGGTGCGTGGATGAGGCATAAAGAGGAAAGAAATGGACCACTACGATTTCATGATCATAATGGACAATGCGGGAAAGCTGTCCGCTTTATTTATACAGAAGCCATTACAAGCTCTGGCACAGCCTTTTGACGTCATGGTCCAGCGGGTATTTCCAAAAATAATTCTGCCGTTTGTTTCACCTAAAAACTCTAGAAGTTCCTGCTACAATTTTATTCTACAACTCAATCTTGTATTCCAAAGAAAAGAAGAACCTAAAGAGCAAGAAAAGAATGAAACCTTAAATACAGGTCCCTACATTAGCTTCAGTTCAATGGGGACAGCCAAGACAGTAGGAATAATGGAAGGCCCTTTTGCAAGATGTTATTATTGACATTAACCTCCAAGCTCACATTAAGTAAAAAGCCAACTCCACAGCAGCAAACAATGCCTGGATGGATGGGAATTCTTCCGCAGGGTGGTCTGGTGCCCATGCAAAGGAAGGTGGAGCTGCATTCAGGTGGTTGTAGAGACATCCACCGGGCTGCCTGAATGGAACCATACTCTTCACACCTTCGTGTCCACCATGCACTGCACGGACCCCAGCAATTGCAAGCAGGACCACAAGGAATTCTCCGCTGCCTGGCAGGGCCCGCTTCATGTCTCTGCTTCCACCTGAAGGCATCCCCACCTCCCCTTGCGAGGACACCGACCACCCCGCTGAGAATTCTGTAATCTATTCAGGCATTGTTTGTGGAGTTGGTGTTCACTGTCAATGCGAGCTTGGCAGTTCATGTTGGTGATAATGTCTTGCCAAAGGGCCTTTCACAATCCATGCTGTCTCTGTCTCTGTCTCTGCTGCCCCCACTGACCATCCTCAATCTTTAGGTCCTCCCTTTTTTGTGATGCATTTCCTCCCTTAACTGATTCAAGATTAAGTTGTAGAATCAGGATTGTGGTAGGAATGTGTTTCTGATTGATATGCACTGTGTGTTGAGAGCTCTAAGGAGAAACAATTGGCAGGATTATCCTTGGAAACACCCACTTGACCATGACGTCAAAAGGCTGTGCCAGAGCTTGTAATGGCTTCTGTATTGTCCAGTATGATCATGAAATCATAGTGGTCCATTTTTCTCTTTATGCCTACTCCATGAACCCTTCACGAGTTCTGAACTCAGCTGGAGCTGGACTCTGGCTTCTGTGTGTGCTTTTACATGTGTGTATGGGTGCGTGTGTGTATGTGTGTGCCTGTGTGTACCTCTGTGGGCATATGCATGTCTATATGTCTGTATGCATATGTAGATTGTGTGTGTGTACTGTGTGGGCATGTTGCATGTTGTGTGTATGTGTGTACGTGTGTGTCGGGCACCATTTCATACATTCTGCTGGCTCTTGCCTGGATCACCGTGTTTATTTTTACTCACTAACTGACACAGTAACTTATCCTCTAAAACCCCAAAATACAGTAACTGTCCAAGTCCAGAGTTAGGAAAGCTCTGTCCAGAATTCCAGAACAGGTGCTGTGACACAGCACACTCATCCTCAACCTGCTGGCTCCCAGCTTTGCATCAGCTCCGCTCCAGCTGTTGCAGCTACTTGAGCAGGGCACCAGCAACATGGAAGATCTCTCCTTCTCTCTCCAGATCTACTTAAGAAAAATTCAAATAAATCTTAGAAACAGGGAAGGAGGAGGGAGGGAGGGAGGGAGGGAGGGAGGAAGGAAGGAAGGAAGGAAGGAAGGAAGGAAGGAAGGAAGGAAGGAAGGAAGGAAGGAAGGAAAGGAAAGGAAAGGAAAGGAAAGGAAAGGAAAAGAAAGAGAGGCAGGCAGGCGGGCCACACCCCACCCCTTTCATTCGCCAGGATTTGGGGGTCCCTGTGGACAGCCCCGGCTCTGCTGCTCTCCCAATGTACAGGAAGGACCTGGTCTAATCGGATGCACTGACCCCAGCGGTCATTGCGCTGCTCGACGAAGCCTGGCTTTCCTCATCGCCCTGGTCGCTGGCTCAGGATCCACAGGCGCTCTGCCATCCAGGCCAAGAGGCTGTAGGGCTCAGGGCTGTCTGTCCCCAGACGCTCCCAGAGGGAGCGCGCTGCCCCGGCTCGCCCGCCAGGTGGCGCCTGCCCGTCGCGGACCAGCACGGAAAGCCGCCCGCGCTCCCTGCCGCCCGCCCCGCTATGACACACTCGCCCGGCAGGTGGCGCCGCTGCGCCACGCGGGCTGCCCCAGCCTGGTGCTGTGGCCTGGTGCCTCAGCCCTGCAGACCCCACAGGCCCTTCAGCCCCATCTGACGGGATGAAAGGAAAAAGACCTCAAACTAGAGGGAGGCAGTCACTCACCAGGGAATCCAGGTCCTCCGTGGGCGGCAGAATGCTGCCTGTGTGGAAGGAATGTCGCCCCACTACAACATGTCACCAGGACAGCGTTCCCTGGATCAGGTGCCTGACACCCAGCTTCCTACTGCTGTCAACCAGGGGGCAGCTCTGGGCTCAAGGAAGGGGGTCCTGTCACCCCTGGGAGCCCAAGTGGAGTTCCAGCTCCTGGCTTCAGCCCTGGCCATTGCTGCCATTCAGGGGAGTGAACCAGGGCACCCAGTGAGTTCTCTCTGCCTCTCCAATACAGAAAAATAAAGCAAGTGAAACACATTCCCTTTCGAATCCAGCAGTTTCCGTGGAAGTCCTTCCTCAAGCCCACCTGTGATTGTCCCAGATGTGAAGGGTCCACAGCGCTGTAACATCGCACTTCAAAGGGAACTGTGTGGTTGGGCACCGCAGTGCTGTGCAGCCATGACGGACGTGCAGAGGAATATGGAACCACACCAAAGGTGTTACTTAATGTTCATGAACACACACGCCAACAGGTGTATAGTAATGTGTTAAAAGGTACAAGCACAGCTTTAAATAATCACACGAAAGACAAATTTGCTTGCAATAATTTTCTGGGTGGTAAAACGCAGTGATTTTTATTTTCTTATATTTTTCCAAGTTTTTTTTTTTAGCAATAAACATTGGTAAATAAAAAGGAAATGAACAGAGACTAGAAATGCATGAGAAGTGCGAACAGGGGCCAGCACTGTGGAGCAGTGGGTAAAGCTGCCAGCTGCTATGCTGGCATCCCATGTGGGTGCCGTTGGAGTCCCAGCTGCTCCACTTCCGGTCCAGCTCTCACTAAGGCACCTGGCAAGCAGAGGAGGATGGCTCAACTGCTGGGACCCTGCATCCACACGGGAGACCTGGAAGAAGCTCCTGGCTCCTGCCTTCAGCCTGGCCCTGCTCTGGATACTGTGACCATCTGGGGAGTGAACAGCAGATGCAAGAACCCTCTCAGTCTCTCTAACTGTGCCTCTCAAATCAATAATCAATCAATCTTCAAAAAGAAGCAGAGCAGTGGCTACCTCTGATGTCTATGGGGAGGGGCAGGAAGCCCACTTCAGTTTGAACCCACTGGCACCTTCCATTGTGCCAGGCAGGGATGCTCCATTGAAAACAAATCATGGCAAAGATCCAGACATGTAAACACCCACAGGAGCTGAGAGCCTGAGGGCGGGTGAGTCCTGGAGCCGCCCTGCCCCACCCTGAGGGCTGGCCAGCACCTGGCAGGGAGGGATGGTCCTCTGCAGGGCGGGTTTCCTGTGGACTCCACCCCAGGAGGCCTGTCCGGGTGTGGCCATGTCCTGGCAGTGCAGCATGAGTGGGCAGGTAGGTGCCAGTGTCCCCAGAGGCGAGCAGAGGTCAAATTGGGTGTCTCATTGAAACTGAGACTCTTCCTCAGCAACTTCCTGAGAAGTCTTTCTTCCAGTTTTCAATGTCTTTACCTTTATGATACTAAACAGAACAACTGTGAAGTCCTCACAAGGAAAGCGCGTGGGAAGGACCCTGACTAAGGACTGTCAGTTGGAGGGGCCGAGGTGGAGGGCAACATCTGGCAGGAAGAGCAGGAAGGGTCCCCCTCAGCCTCCTGGACAGTAGCCCTGCTTCCATCCCCTCTGCCAGCACGTATATGCCCAAAGGGACTTTGCCACCTGCAGGAGTGTGGCCATAGAGCACCTGATGGATGTTGGGGCAGCCCCTGGAAGGACCCATGGCTCAGGGCTCACCCTGCACATTTCTTGGCATGGGGTCCCAGGACACTCAGCTTGGCTCCCTCCACCCCCGGGCTGGCTGGGCCGCCTCCAGGCCTGCAGTCCCAGGAGAGGGTCCCAAGGCCTCACCCTGCCCAGGTGCTTGGCTGCCCACACAGGGCGGCAGTGCAGGGAGCTGGCCAACCTGGGGGCTGCGGGGACAGGCACCAGCATGTTGGCCTAGGAGGGGAGCCGTCCACCCTTCTCAAAACCCACCAATCAGAGCTTTCCTTTCAGTCTCATTCAAAGGCCTTTCAAAGTCAGAAATACTTCACAAGGAACATGTAGAAGAGTGACTGTTCAGATTTATTGTCACTTGAAGCAGAATGAGGGCAATCTGTAGGCTGCAGACACTCCTTAGAGCCGGCAACACGGGCCTCTGCAACTGCCCAGATTCTTCAGGAGGTGACACTGAAACCCCAGCATGGGCGAGCTGGGGGCTCTGTGGGCTGAGCACCCTTCCCCTCCTCTGGCGCAGGGTTAAGGGCAGGGCACACCCGGGGGCCAGTATTCTCACTCAGAGTGCTCCAGGTCCTTCCTGCACAGGTGCTTGGGAAGGGAGAAGGCGGAGAGAGTGTGTTGGGGCCATAACAACTTCCTCTAGCCGCCCAAGCACCCAAAAGGCAACTCAGAAAACTGCCCCATGGGCCTGAGCCAGGAGTGCCTGCACTTCTTGCTGACTTCTGGGTCAGAAGGCAGCCAGGGCACACTGGGAAATAACTTCTGGAACATGTCACAGCATAGCAGTATCTTTTCAGGTGGGAGAAGCCACTCTAGGCAAGAGGGGCCATGCTGAGCCTCCCCTGGCCCCCAGCCCCTCTGAGTCACTAGGCACGGTGGCCTAGTCGTCATAGCGGATCTGGGCCTGCAGCTTCTTGGTGAGGTAGCCTACCAGCACAGCCAGCAGCTGCTCCTGCAGGGTCGTGCTGCCCATGACAAGCCTGAAGAGCTGAACGGCATCTGTCCAGTCCAGGTGCCCGATGATGGCAAGGACTTCATTATAGAGCTTCCGCTTCTCGGCCGGGGGCAGCTCCATTAGGATCTGAGGCACGGGCTGGAACTGTCCACTTGTCATCCAGGCACCTAGTAGGCCCCCGATGGCCCCACCTGGAAAACAAGGGAGCCAGCAGTTAAGCCTGGAGTCACATGCCAGCCTCAGCTTCTCGCTGAGCCCATGAGGAGGGGGCCAGTGGTGGAGCTGGTCGGGTGGGCTCAGCTCTGCAGGCAGCAGGCAGGGCAGACCTCTGCTGCCCCTGCCTGTGGGAATGGATACCCAAGTGTACCTTGTCCTGATGGTAGCACCAATGTGGAGCAAAGCACAGCTGCCTGTGAGCCAAGTCTTCCTCAAGTGGCTTCCCACACCATCTCCTGCCTTGCAGACCAGGGAGCTGAGCTGCAAAGGGGCCCTGGAGGTCAAGTGGCACAGCAGTGAGGCCCTGCTTCCTCCCCTGGGGGCCCGACACTCCTTGCCCTGGAAACTAGGAAACTTGCCCTGAACTCAGGAGGTTAGAGATCCCAGGGACCCCGTCGATCATGCCATGGCATGGCCTACTGCTTGCCTTCCTGCTTCCTGACAGGGGCACACCACCATTTCCAACGGCAAACTGTGTCAACGTGAGGGTGTGCTCTGGGTAAGGTTCCACGCTAGTGGGAGGGGACAGAGGGCCTGAGTCCAGACTCAAGGACCTTCTGGAACTGGGCAGGTACACAACAGGGGGGAAGAAGGCGGAGTGGGCCTGTGGAGAAGGGGCAGTCCTGCCAGCCAACTCCTGCCACAAACAATATGGGATTTGCATCTGTAAGATGCCTACATTTGGGCACAGCGTCGTGGCTTAGTGGCCAAAGTCCTTGCCTTGGACGCAGCAGGATCCCATATGGGCACCGGTTCTAATCCTGGCAGCTCCACTTCTCTTCCAGCTCCCTGCTGGTGGCCTGGGAGGAGAGTAGAGGACGGCCGAAACCTTGGGCCGAAAGCCTGCCCCCACATGGGAGACCTGGAGGAAGGTCCTGTCTCCTGGCTTTGGATCGTCACAGCTCCGGCCGTTGTACTCACTTGAAAAGTGAATCATCGGATGAAGATCTTCCTCTCTCTCCTGCTCTCTGTCTATGCGACTTTGTTAATGAAAATAAAATAAGTCTTTTAAAAAAATTAAAATGCCTACACTCTATAATATCAGCAATCAGATATCTAAGGGCGCAGCCCGTCTGGCCTCCGGGACTCATGCCTGCACAACAGCACGCAGGAAGGGAACAGCAGCTTCACAGCAGAAAATCCCAGTGCGTGTGACTCTCCTGAAGGAGCGGGCCCATTCGACCCAGTGAGGCTGCATGGGCGCCCTGTACACACCAGGAGTGGTGCAAAAGCCGTACGTTCACATCTGGGCTGATCTTCTGAAGGCCTGAGGCTCCTGTCTGACCACAAGGAACACGACAGACAACTACAGACGGACAGAAGGCCCACCAAGCACGGCAGCTATCCTAACTGTCAAGATTGTAAAACCAAACACAGTCTAAACAAACTGGCACAGACCAGAGGTGACGAAGGAATCAAACAGGACTCTAGAATCAATAAAGGGGCAGGGGGTCACTAATGCAAAACCTGGTCAAATCTGGGGATGGTGCTGTGGCACAGTAGCTTGAGCTGCTCATTGCGACACCAACATCCCATCCTGTAGCACTGGTTCAAGTCCCAGATGCTCCACTGCCCACCCAGCTCCCGGTCACTATGCCAGAGAGCAGCAGCAGATGGCCCCTGCCACCTGGGAGGCCAGCACGGAAGTCTTGGCTTCTGACTTCAGCCTAGGGCAGCTCTAACCATTGCAACCAATTGGGTAGTGAGCCAGCAGATGGACCATGTCTTTGTCTCCTCTCTCTCTTTCAGTCACTCTGCCTTTCAACAAACAAAGAAATGTTAGTAAAAAAGGAAGGACAGAAGGAAGGAAGGAAGGACAGTGGGAAGGAAGGAAGAAAGGAAGGAAAGAAAGGAAGGAAGGAAAGAAAGAAAGAAAGAAAGAAAGAAAGAAAGAAAGAAAGAAAGAAAGAAAGAAAGAAAGAAAGAAAGAAAGAAAGAAAGGAAGAGATCCCTAGTGAAACCAAATGGAGTCTAGAACATGGTTCACGGTAGAGTGTCAGTGTTAGTTTTGTAGCCTTGACAATGACCCATGATACATGTTAACACTAGGGGAACTGGAACCAGGTGACAGACACATGGGCATTCTGTCTATGCACTTCCTGTAAATCTATTATTCTTCCAGACTGCAAAAATTTATTTTAAAAAAAAATATCTTGTTCAATGGGCCAGAGACGGGGTGTTGGGCAGGGGTGGGGGCACACCCTGGTTCACTTCCCACATGGACGAGGATGGGCCAGCCAAGCTCAGCAGCCAGGAACTCCGTCTGGGTCTCCCCATGACTGGCAGGGGATAAGCAGGCAGCTAGTTTAGGAGCTGCTGCCCTGGAAGTCCCGTGACCAACAAGGCCTCCTACTCCCAACCAACCCCCACCCCCCGCCCCTGTGTAAAGCTATCCTCCTGCTTGTCAATCAAAACACCCCTTTTCCCAGATTCATCCGTTCCATCCCAGACTTGAGAGGAAGGCAGCAGGAAAATACACAGCTCCAGGAGGTGCCAGCCGCTGTTCCTCCACTCCACCTCTCCTCCCCGCCCCACAACCTTGTAAAAGATTTTTCTTTCATTATTTGAAAGGCAGAGTTACCGAGATAGAGAGGGAGAGATCTTTCATCTGCAGCTTCATTCCCCAAAGGACAACAACCAGAGCTGGGCCAGGCTGCCCAGGAGCCCAGAACTGCTCCCTGGTCTCCCGTGTTGGGTGCAGGGGCCAAGCCTCAGCACCCTCTCCACTGCTTCCCCAGGCACCTGAGCAGGGAGCTAGATGGGAAGCAGAGCAGCAGGACCCACATGGGATGCAGCTTAACCCACTCCACCACCACACTGGCCTCAGCCCCAAGTCCTGGTGGCTGGCTGCTCTGGACTGGGTCAACGACTCTCCCAGGAAGAGCAGCACTCTGGGGAAGGCAGACCAGCTAATGTCCACACTCCTGAACTCCCCATGACACCAGTGAAATGCTTGGAGCTGACAGGAGTTGTATCCATCGGCAGTAACCCTGTATGAGAACATCCATACTTGATTTAGAGCAGCACGTAACACGCAGATTCTCCAGGAATATCGACCGGCAAATTACTAGTTATTGGAAATGAGAAAATTCCTTTGTTTTCTCCCACCCAAGACCAAGAGCTGGATGTAGCAGTGCCCTGCTTCCTGCCAAGGCCTGGGTCTCCAACAGCTTTTACTCAGTTTCAGCAAACTGTGTGTTCCCAGGGGGTCCTGGGACGTGCCTAGGTGGCCAGGGGGTCCCGGAGGTGGTGGGGACAGACTCAGGAGGTCACTGAGGAAGGAGGTCTGGTCTCCTGCCTGCCTGGCTCCTTCCGGGACGGCGAGGAGCTGATGTCAGCACTGGCTGAGCTTCAGCACGTGCAAAGGGAACATGGTGGAGGGGCCTTCTGGGATTTATCCTCCTCGTACCTGTGGCCTCAGTTTCCTGGAAGGTCCTTGAATGTCAGTCCTGCCTCCAGGGCGAGAACAGCCAGGAAACCCAGGCAGCGAGCTGGGAAGCAGTCGGCAGCTGGACAGAAAAGCAGCTGCTTGGTGGCCTACAGCCATGGACAGAGGCCTCCCATCAGCCCGATGCCCAGCACGGAGGAGGTGCTGCTAACAGGCACGGCGCCCAGTGCAGCAGGACCCTGGCAGACAGCAGCCTGAGGATCCCAGCTCAACAGCAGTGCAGGATGCGGCTGGGCCTCACCCGGCTGGCTCACTGCAGTCTAGCTGAGGGTTCAGGCCGCGGCCTGAGCCAGGACACAGGAATCCCTCCTGCCCCTCATCAGAAAGAATTACTTTGGGGCCTGGCACAGTAGCCTAGTGGCTAACGTCCTCACCTTGCATGCTGCTGCACTGCCCTTCCAGCTCCCTGCTTGTGGCCTGGGAATGCAGTGCAGGATGGCCCAAGGCCTTGGGACCCTGCACCCACATGGGAGACCTGGAAGAAGCTCCCGGCTCCTGGCATCACATTCGTTCAGCTCTGGCCAATGGGAAAACTTGGGTGGTGAACCAGCAGACAGAAGCTCTTTCTCTCTGTCTCTCCTTCTCTCTGTGAAGCTGGCTTTCCCATAAAGTAATAAAGAAAGAAATCTTCTCAACAAGGAAGCACCTTTATCCCAGCTCTGAGAACCAACTGGGAAATGAGCCAAGCTCTCGTTCCCTGCCATTGCAGGCTGCCCAGGAGGGCCGGCCCTGGGGCGGAGGCGCTGTCTGTGCTGGTCCCTGCACAGACTTTGTGCTTCCAGAAGGAGGACGCGCCAGCTGCTGCAGACCAGCCATGCAACATCTGCTCGTGGTCACATGTGCCGCAGACACCAGCTTCCTTCCTGGCTCCCTTCCAAAAGGTCCTGTGATGCTGCTGCTGAGCAAACCCAGTACCCGTGGACACAGGCCGGTAGGGGAGTGGGGAGGCTGGGGCTAGGGTTCCCCAACCTGCCTGCGAGAGCGGACTGGTGCTGGAGGTGTGGGAGGCCTGCATGCTTCTGAGCCATTCACAGGCTAGATTCTGCACGTACACGCATTCCATAGAGGAGAGGCCACTGAGTCCTTGTCCCTGTGTGCACCCTTCCCCTCCAGGACACCCTCCCAGCTGACCATCCAAGCAAGACACCTGCACTTACCGACAGCAAGTCCTGCTGGACCACCCATCAGGCCGCCCATGAAGGCCGCAGCTCCTGTGACCAGGGCACCCTTGCCCGAGTGCTTGACAGCCGCTTTCATTTTCTTGTTCTCAGAAAGGGTGCACAACAGCTTTATAATGTCTTCCACCCTGATGGGCATCCTGGCCGGCCTTGGGGAAGGACAAAGGAGACAGCTCTTGTGAGCAGATGAGCCCCTGTGTCCTGGAGGGGGCAGCGGCCCCACTGCGTGTCACGGGAGAAGCCCCTGCCCCAGGAACGCAGGGTGAAGGCTAGTTACTGGCAAACAGAAGCAGCTGAGGGATGTAGGCCTCCTGGCCCAGGGCAGATACAGAGGTCCCTGTGCCCAGGTGCTCAGCACATCCATTCGGAGGCAGCGCTGGCCCTTCCTGCCACACCTGCTCCTCCCTCAGCTGAGCCCACACTGACCCGCGGAGCCTGGCATGTGCCATGCTGTCTCAAGGGCCTCGTGGCCCCTTCTGAGTCGTAGGGCATCTGCACCAAGCATGGGGCCCACAATCTGCCAGGTTCCTCACCTCTGCTCCCAGAAGGTGCCGGTAGAACAGACAGAAGGTGCCTAGGCTGGGTGTGGCATGCCGCAGGCTCCAAAGGGCTCTCAGTCACACACACACACACACACACACACACACACACACACACACACACACACATCCTTCCTCCCCCTCTCGCTCCACACATGGGCCACCTGACAGCACACACAGGGCAGGCACTTTGTGCTCTGCTCTCAGCCAAGGCAATCTGAGGGGCCAGCCAGAGCATCCGGGCCCCTGCCACCCATGTGGGAGACCTGGAATGGCTCTGGCCTGCCAGCCCTGTTGCTGGCATTTGGAGAGGGAACCAATAGATTGAGGGCTGATCTCATTCCTTCTATCATGCTCCACATTTTAAGTAACTGAAAACAACTAAACATTTTAAACCACTCAGGGACAAGATGAAGCAATCAGAGACTGAGTAAACTGAGGCAAGGAGCAGGTGGATGCACGGATGTCCTTCCTCCTCCTTTTTTTTAATAACAGCAAACTTTGCCTCATTTTAAATTTATTTTTTACTGCTGTATTGGAAAGGCAGAGTTACAGAGATAAAGAAATCCAGAGAAAGAGAAAGAGAGAGAATCTTCCATCCACTGGTTTGCTCCTCAAATGCAGCAACGGGCAGAACCAATCCAGGAGCTTCTCCTGGGTCTCCAACATGGGACACAATGAACAAGTCCCACAAGGATCATCCCCTGCTGCCTTCCCAGGTCATAGTAAAGAGCTGGATCAGAAGTGGAACAGCCAGGACTTGAACTGGGGACCATACAGGATGCTGGTGCTGTGGGCAGCAGCTTTACCTGCTGTGGCCACGGCTTTGGCCCTAAGGGATGGATTTTTTAATCTAATGACCTTTAGAATAATTGCCTGTGTCAGGACACTTAACACTGCTGCCAGGAAACTTGACACATTACCTGCCCTGAGAAGGAACAAGCAGGAATCAGGAGCCGTCAGGCTGACAGTGCCAGGAGCAAGTCACACGCCACTGAGCTGGATCCTCTCCATACAGGTTGTTCTCACAGCTCTGTCCTCACCAACTTCCTGCCCTTTCCTAGCTGAGTGCTGCCACGGCTGCTACAGGCCTGGGATGGAGGGAGCGGGGGCAGACTCCACTGCTCAGCAGCTCTGGCTTACGTGACCTGCACGGACCCCAAGTCCGAGGTCTGACGTGGCACAGATCCAGCCCTGGGAGCTAATGCCAGCATGCAGAACACCATGCACCCACCTGGCCGCCTCGTGCTGGGTGCTCAGAGCTTCTTGGCAGCCCCAGGAAGGGCAGAGCGTGGCCCCTGCACACTTTCCTTCCTTCTTTCCTCTGACAAGCCACATCTGTGACTCCCCTGGCACAAGGAATCTCTCAGGTCTGTGTCAGATCCGGGGTGGGGAAAGAGTGTTTGCGGGCAGCAAGACGCTACAAGGACACGGAGCGGGACTGGGTGCTGGCGCCTTCACTCACTCCTTCCTGCGCGTGCTGCACGAGGCTCTCTCCAGATGTGTCTGTTTGGCCAAGCGGCAGGTGGAAGACAACCGAGCGGAGGCCTGACAGGGCTGTCCAAGGGCTGGAAGACACTCAGGTGCACCAGTCCCTGCCCTGGCTGCCCAGTGTCCAGCCAGCTGGACGGGCTCCTCCCTGGAAGGTGCTGGTCAAGGATTTTGCACAACAATGTTGCTTATCCCAGGGAAGGCGCTGGGCCTGGCCAAGGCCCCACCCAGAAAGGGGGAGCCAGAAGGAGGTGTATCTCTTGGTTTGCCTTGGTCTTGAAAAACCATGCCAACAAAGTTAGTCTAATATCAAATACGACAACGAAAGGAATTGCTCTGACAGTGAAACCTCTCAAAAGGCTGAAATCCTGCCGGTAAACTGAGTCACCTGCTCTTGCAGCAGCTCTGGTTTATCTACAAGCTACTCATCCTGCCAATTACAGCACACCTGTTTGCCCAGGACTGGGAAGGGCCCTCCCGAGGAGAAACTTTGACCCCAGACACTCAAGGGCTAATCAGGCTTCCAAAGCCACCCCAACCTCCACTGAGCCCAGGCGAGGGAGGACCTGACTTCTGCTGCACTTCAAGAAGCTGCACCTTGGGATCCGGCGCAACAGCATAGCAGTTAAAGTCCTTGCCTAGAACACAGCGGGATTCCACATGGGCACCGGCTCTAATCCCGGAGACCCTGCTTTCCTTCCAGCTCCCTGCCTGTGTAGCTTGGGAATGCAGTCGAGGGTGGCCCAAAGCTTTGAGACCCTGCACTCGTGTGGGAGACCAAGAGGAAGCTCCTGGCTCCTGGCTTTGTATTGGCTCAGCTCCAGCCGTTGCGGCTGCTTGGGGACTGAACCATTGAATGGAAGAGCTTCCTCTCTATCTCTCCTTCTATGTAAATCTGCCTTTCCGATAAAAATAAATAAATAAATCTTTTTTTTTTTAAGATGCTCTACCTCCACCCCACAGTTCCTTGAAGCATTCTAGAAGTCATTGCACCAGAGACTCTGATGGAAGCCAGGTGTAACCCCAGCTCCTGAGCCTCTGCTTTAAAAGCTCCGCTGCCCGAGGTCTCCGGGCTCGCCCTCCCAGTGCAGGCTCCTGGTGTGCACTGGACAAGAAGGGGTGTCGCAGGGAGCAGGAGGGCACTCAGAAGGGACAGGCCTCACAGGGGAGGGAGGGAGGCCTCCTCCCCGCCCAGATCACACTTGTTTCACACTCACAGCTGACAATGAACAGGCCCACGTCACAGGAAGTCCAGCTGCTAGGCGCTAGAGGAGGCAAAGGTCAACTGGAAATTGTAACCACCCTGTTTCGGCTCTTGTGGTGGTTGAGGGGTAAGGTCTCTGCTTGGCACAGGGAGATCTGCCCACTCTGGGGGCCTGGGGCCTGGGGGGGCTTCAGGGCAACACAGACCTCCACACACCATTTTACAAAATACAAACAAGGAGACCAAAGGCGCGTTCTTCTCTGGGGAACCAAACCTCATCTTCCCACCAGCACATGCCCCAGCACCGTGCTCACGAGTGGACCCCAGCAGCGAGCACCAAGGGGTGAGCTGGTAGTTCCCAACACTGGAATGCAGCGTGTTAAGCCCCTGTCTGTGGCACTGGTATCCCATATGGGTGCTAGTTCAAGTCCTGGCTGTTCCACTTCCCATTCAACTTCCTGCTCATGCCCCTGGGAACACAGCAAAACAAGGTCCTAGTGCTTGGGATTCTGAACTCCCATGGAGACCTGGGAAAAAGCTCCTGGCTTCCGCTGGGCACGACCTTGGCTGTGGTCACTGAAGACATCTGGGGAGTGAGCCAGCAGCAGATTTCTCTCTCTTTTTCTTTCTTTCTTTCCCTCTTACTTTCTCTCTCTCTTTTCTTTTGCTTTCTTTCTTTCTTTCTTTCTTTCTTTCTTTCTTTCTTTCTTTCTTTCTTTCTTTCTTTCTTTCTTTCTTCTTTCCTTCCTTTCATTTCTTTCTCTCTTTCTCGCTCTCTCCCCCCCAAATTGCCTCAACAGTACCTTTCAAATAAATTCATACACTACATGAACCCAGCAACCTGCTTGTGGCCTGGGAAAGTAGTAGAGGTTGACCTGAGGTCCTGGGATCCTGCATCCACATGGGAGGCCCACAAGAAGCTCCTGGCTCCTGATTTTGGATCAGCTCAGTTCTGACCATTTCAGCCATTTGGGGAGTGAAGCAATGGATGGTAGACCTTCTCTATCTCTCCTTTTCTTGATTTCTTTTTCTTTTAAGCTGTATTTATTTTTATTGGAAAGGCAGATATTCAGAGAGGAGGACAGACAGAGAGGAATATCTTCTGTCCAATGATTCACTCCCCAAGTGAGCATAACAGCCGGTGCTATGCCCATTTGAAGCCAGGAGCCTTTATCCTCTTCTGGTCTCTGACGTGGGTGCAGGGTCCCAACGTCTTGGGCCATCCTCGACTGCTTTCCCAGGCCACAAGCAGGGAGCTGGATGGCAAGTGGAGCTGCTGGGATTAGAACCTTAGAATCGGCGCCCATATGGGATCCCGGTGCCTTCAAGGGAAGGACTTTAGCTGCTAAGCCAGGGCCCCGGGCCCTATCTCTCCGTTTCACTGTAAATCTCTTTCAAATAATAATCAAAATAAATAAATAAATCTTGAAATAATTTTTTAATTCCTAAGATGTCACACACTTCAAATTGCTGGTATCTTCTGAAATCTCTGCTTTTCTGGGTAGCCATGCAATCTTTGGCTATCCTGGCTGAGAAGGTGCTCACTTGCCCCTGACCCCCAACACACACAACACACACACACGCACACTCACACGCACAGCAGGCACTGCCCTGACTGCCACAGCACCACCAGCCCCTGCACCTGATCCACCTCACAGCCTCTAAAAGCATCCCCAGTGGCTCTGGAAAAGGCTACAGCAGCCTCCCAACCGCACCCAGACCAACCACACTTCCTAAACCCGCACCGATTCTTCCTGGTCAACTGCCATGGCAAGGCCAGGTGTGCTGCCCTTAAGCAGGTGTTGTGCTTGGACAACACCCACACCAAGGGACTGCGGGGGCGCCTGAGTCCTAAAGTCATATTTGCTGCTTGGACCTACCTCAGTTTCCTCGTATGGAAAATGACAAACA